GGACTCAGGACTTCCCCTTCCCCTCTTGTCCCTTTGCATCACTCAAGTCTCAAGATGGGAGGCAGACAGGCTCTGGAGGGGCTGGGAGATTGGGAAGGGGAAACAGACCAGAGCCTGAGAATTACAGTTCAGGGACAGAGAGGCTGGTGCTGGGTTACATCTGCAGCATTGCTGAGCCCAAGGAATTCTCATCTTGTTTTGTGCATCCTCGGGACAGACCTTGTCACTCTCTGAGACTCAGAGGTACAGGCACTATACAGACACACCCATGATACTAGCCCAGTACTCACAGCCCACTTCCCCTCCTCATTTCCTCCTCATAATCGTATAAGAAATCTCAGATTTGGCCCCTGGAGTTCGGCTGATGCCATTCTCACCCATCCCCCGAGAGGGCGAGTATGGGATTTCCTTCCTGGAGAATTCCCAGTGCTTTGTTATGCCACAGCTGTCATCCTCGGAAATACTGCGTGTCTCTTTGCCTCGTCAGGTCTCACCCTGCCTGTCAGTCCCTCTTCATTTATGGGTTCTGAGAAGAAGTTCCCAAGTTACAGAATTATCAAGACGTCACAGATTGGAGTGTGGAGCAGGCTTGGCCTCCTAGGAGAGATATTTTTGAGATCACGTGGGTACTGATAGGCAGGAGCCTAAGTTAATAAGAATAGCCCTGTTGATGGGGGAAGAAAGGTGAGGAGGACCTCATTTCCTCCCCTCCCCAAATTCCCATGAATTTGTGGCTATGCTGCCCTCTGGTGGCTGAACTCTGGTTTAGCAGGACATGAACATCTTTGCCTCTAACGATCGCACTAGCATTTCAGCACCCCTCTCTGTCCTCTTCCTGGATATTAGGACAGTCCTAGAGGAGACAGAGGATCCTGAGGGGTTCCCTCACTCTGGTTTCTCTTCAAAGACCTCAAGGCCATGTTGGTTAAGCATGAGGGCTTTCACAGTCAGGCAAGGCTGAATCTGAGTCTGTGACCTTGGGCAAGTTACATAACTTCTCGGGACCTCAATTTCCCCTTGTGTAAATGGGGTTAATTGTACCTACTTCACACATTTAATTTCTATCAAATTAAATGAGATACTGTATGTAAACTATTTAACACTCCCTCTATGCACCAGAATACAATGGGCAATGAAAACAAAACAAAAACCCAGCTGGCTTTCTTCTGATTTAGTTCTGCGGCCTTTTCTCGAAACCCATTTCATTATTTTGATTTAGGAAAGCCCAGGTGAGTCTCTGGACCATGGTCCCCCACCTTCAACTTGGACCTCCCCCTTTGTATTCTTCCCTAACCCTCAAACCCAAAGAGAAGGGATTCCGCTCCCTTCTCTCCTGGAGGTGCTGGGGCCAGATCTGGCGGGGGCTGGGTGATGAGCAGAAGAGTCAAGCCTTTCTTTCACCCCTTCCATCATCTCTTTCACTTAAGAAAAGGGAACCCCCAAACTAGTTCCACAGTTGCTGGGGGTCATACTCTTGGCTCCCAGTGGAAAGAAGCTGCAAGAAACACAAACATTTCCTACCCACCAAGCGGTCTGGTTCCAGGAAAGTTCTGGAAAGAGTGGGGATAGGACAGATTCCAGCTCTGGTCAGTGGGGGCACCGGGCCGGGTTTATTGCACTTGCAACAGAGTTTAAATAAGTCCCGGGTGTCCGGAGCCAAGGTGAAGGGAGGGTTGGGCAGGGAGAGGAGGGGCAGCGTCAGTGCAGCTGGCGGGCAGAACCCAGATCCTGCAGGCCGGGGGCAGCGGGCTCCCCCTTTCTCCAGGGGACTAGTAGGGCCTGTGTCCGGCCAGTGTTAAGGTTCCAGATCTGTTGCCATCGTGGCCCCTTCAGGGTCCTGGGCAATTCCTGACTTCTCCTGAGTCAGAGGTGGATTGGGCCTCCAGGCCCAGGTCTGGAGCAGGCTCAAATGTAGTCCTGGATCTGCCTAGTTAGGTCACCAATGTCTGAGTCTGGGTCCCAGATCAACCCCAGGCCCCAGGTTCGATCTGGCCCTGTTAGAGTTCTGATTCCCCTTGCAGCTGGTTCTGGGCCAGCGTGGATCCTGGTGTGGGATCTGTCCTGAGCGGGGCCTGGGGCACCATCCACGGTTATTGTTCCTTGTTGGCCCACCGGGGTGGGGGCTGTCCAGAGCTGCCATGTCTCGCTCCCCAGGTTCCAGGTTCTTAGCTGGGGGCTTCTGGCAGGACTGAGGAGAGATCTTTGCAGGCTGGAGCTGGACAGGAAGTCCTGGTGGCACGTCTGAGCCGGAGAACTGGGATTGGATCCCCCAGTTCTGGTTCCAAGTTGTTTTCAGGAAACTCTCCAAAATGCAAAGGCTGCAGGGAGGCTGGGGCCTCTGTCCCTGGATCTGAGTTCCCCCATCCATGAGGAGGGCATGTGTAAACGAGGGTCCTTCACAGTGCATGGGGGGAGGGGATCCCCAGCTCCACACCTCCCGGCTCTGGCCCTTCAAGTATGTCTCTGGGCTGGGGAGAGGAGCTTCTCCCTGGCCCTCAGCACCTTCAGGAAGCACCCAGCCCCCTCCCTGTCAGTAGACTGAGGGTGGGGGGACTGGACCTTCAGGATTGGGAGTCTGGGATCGGGAGAAGTCAGGCATCAGAGGTGGCTGGAGGCTTGAGCTGAGCTTTCTCCATGGCGGTGCCGTATGGGAGGGAGCGTTTGAAGAATCCGAGCTAATGAGGGGAAAAGGAGGGAGAGTTGAGTTACTCTGGTTCCCCTTTCTCCGCAGATCTTATCCCAAGGCGGGATGAAGATGACTCTAGTGCTTCCAATCTCCCCATCTTGCAAAAGTGGCCCAAATTCAGTCTGTTAAGACCACCTCTCCAAGAGGTCCAGTGGGTTAAGAGGGCTAAGGTTGGGGGTGCTTTGGTGCCATAAGAATGCCCCCAGTTCAGCCAGAGACGGCACATAGGTGTGAAGTCAAGTTCTAAGTCTCATTGCCTAGGAGTGGCTGCCTCTCGAGAAGGGTTCTGAGGCTACTTCTAGGGTATGAACGATCAGCGATGGCTGCCATGGCTTTCTGGAGGAAGTGACAGCACAGATGCCACATACTGGCCACTTGGGAGTAACACTGATTTTGAAAGTAGAAGTAAACTTATCAGCTTGAGTCAAGAGGACTTTTTCTAAGCTAGGGGCTGTAGAATGAAGGAAAGGATCCCATAGGCAGTGTCCAGACGGGATGCCCGTGGCCAGGGAGAGGTGGGGACATGTGGCTGGAGAACTGGTCTGGAGGCAGACGCTTGGGACTGTGCTGCCTCAAGGGCAGAACCTGGTGAGAGAGAGGCCAGGTCAGGTAGGATGTGGCTGACCTTGTAGAGGATATAGATGAGCAGACCTAGGAGCAGGAGGCCAATGAGGACGGCTAGAATAATGATCCACAGCGGGACGCTGTGGCTGCCTTCCGCCTTGATCCACTGCACGGCTGTGGCCACCTGGGAGCAGGTCAGGAGAGGTCACTGAAAAGCCGTTAGTCCTTCCCACCCTACACTTGGCTCCCACTTGCCACTGGACCTAGACCCACCTTTCCCCTTCCGTCTTGGGCTAACAGAATTCTGATCTTCAAAAGTCAAATTCCTAAAATGTGCATTATTGTCTCTTACTTTTGGGCTTTCACACCTGCTAGTTCCCTCTCCCCAGAGAATATTCCTTTCCTGACTGGTTAGCCTGGTAGATCCTATTTATCCTTCAGGTTTGCTTAAACATCCCTTCTTCCAGGAAGCCTTCCCCGACTCTGCAAGCCTGTGTTCGAGTGTCCCTATGATGTGTTGCCATAAACATGCTGGCACTTGTCACACTGTCTTCTCACTGCCCTGTCCATCTTGCTTATCACTGTATTCCCAGGACCTAGCACAGTGCCTGGCACACAGTAGATGCTCAATCGATATCTGTCACCATAATCAGGCCAGCCCCCGTCGCATCCCAGTGCTAGCGCCAGGCCCAGCACTCCATCTTCCTTGGCCCCGACCTCTGGCCCGGGACTCACCTGCAGTTCCTTTCGGGGAAGCTGCCGAGGCAGGATACGGTAGGGCATCTTCAGGGCTTCATACACAGCTTCACACTGCAGACTGAATGGCTGGTGTTCCCGCTGTGGGTGGTGGAAAGGTGTTCAGGGTGGCCTCTTATGGTATCTAGGAGGTCACTGGGCTCCCCATGGTCTGGCTCTGGTTATGATCTTTCCCTATTTTGGAATCATTCTCTTCTGAATCTCTCTCTGTGTTCCTTATATGAGATAATAAATGTGTAACTGAAGAGTTACAATTAGATGACAGCATGTTCAATAGAAAAAGCATTGTTTTGGAATCATGAATATGGGTGAAGCACCCAGGATGACGCCTGGCCTATAGGATGCACTCAATAAATGACTGCTCTCTACTGTTCCTACATCTGCTTGCCTCTCTGTGATGGATATGTCTTCCGTCCCTGTTTTCTATCATTCTCTGCCACTGGTCTCCCTCCCGCCCTGCCTCCTCTGAATGGGCCAGGAAAGGGAAGCTGTCGGTCCCAATGTGGCCACTAGGTGGCGCCAAGGACACACAGCCCTGTCCAAACAAGGGTGAGGGAGGGGAGCGCGGCTGCCTGGGTCCCAGTCACCAAAGCGGGTGGCTAGGGCAGTGGGGAAAGGAGCGTCAGTCCAGGCAGGCCCGAAGGTCGGGGGTCAGGACTGAGGTGAGGCTCCCTCACCTGGAGGAAGGTCTTGGCCCAGACGCGGAAATGCAGTAGCAGACTTCGGCTCTCTTGCCGGTGCAGTGGCCCCAGCTCGCAGCGCAGCCGGAAACACTCGGCCTCCGGGCATTTCTGGGAAGAAAGCGGAGGCTTGAATGCGGCGTTCCGCCCTGCTGGTGGCTCTGAGGATGCAAACAGATACTCAACGCTTCGACCCAGACCTCATTCCCAGGAGGACTTACCAGGATCTGAGGCCCTGAGGAGGCAGGGCTCCGGCCTGGAGCATCCCGTCTTTGCAGCCGGTGGTGCTGGGAACCCTCGGGATCCAACTGGAAGAGGAAAGGGACCATTAGCTGCCTCTCTCACCTCATTACAGCCTCTAAGTCAGCCTGCCTCTGGGGTCCAGAGCAGCTTCGACCTGGTCTTCCACCCATACAACTGACCACCTCCTGTGGCAAGGCACCGACCTCAGCACTGAAATACCGAAACGGGTGAGACTTGATCCTTGGAGTTTACAAGGAGGAGATGTCAGTAGATAATTAGGGCCCCGTGCCTGCCTTGGGGCCTTTGCCCTGCCTGTCCCCTCTGCTTGGAATGCTTTCTCGAGTCTTCACACACAGGTTCACCCTTGCCTTTCATGCCTCAATTCACCTGTTCTCTCCTCAAGAGGTTTTCCCTGATGCCTCAAACAGGCTCCCAGCCGGGCCCTGCCCTGCCCCAGCATTTTAGCACTGCACTCTCAACACTTCTCAATACCTGTTTCTCTCTCTCTCTCTCTCTCTCTTTTTAATTTTTATTGTCTCTTACCCTCCACTAAAACATAAGCCCCATGAGAGTGGGGGCCTTGTGAGTTTTGTTTGGTGCGATCTTTCCTGAGCCTGTAACATGGCTCAGTGCATTGTTGTTTATGTGTAAACGAGCTTTAAAACAGGCACTGGGGCCCAGGCGAGCGGCTCTGAGGAAGGCTTTCCGGAGGTGGTGGTGCCAAGCTGGGCCCTAGGAGTACACCAGGGCAAGACGTCAGGGAAGGATACTTCAGGCAGAAAGACAGAAGGGCAGTGCATAAAACAGTCTTTTCCCCTCCCAGGGTCTCAAGGTGTCTGTGGGCCTTCGGACCCCCTTCCAGTGGCCTCAGTCCTAGCTCCAGGCACACCCTACTTGGCTCTTCTAGTTTCCCGGCGACCTTCCCCAACCACCTTCGACTTGGTCCCCTCACCCCCAGGCCAGTCCCCAGGCCCCTCACCTCTAGGCCCTGTGGGTTGGGGGGGTGACTGGTGGTGCAGTTGCTGAGTCCTGTGACCCTGGTCACGTAGAGGAGCTGCTGACCTTCCAGAGCCTGGGGACAGCTGAGCTCCAGCACGCCCCGGCTAATGGAGCTGGGGCCCAGGTTGATGAGCTGAGGAGAGGAGGGCACGGTGATCATGGGAAGGGAGGCAGTGATTCTGCCCTGTTGCAACCCAGGTCCTGGTGGCCCGCTCATGCCTGCTGCGAGTCTCCCATCTCAGGAGCGAGGGAGGAAATCAACGGGCAGAGGCGAAATCCTCCCCAGCCAAGCCTCCTGGAGGAGGCGGCTCCATCCTTCCCCCACCACTTTTTTTTTTCTTTTTTTGAAGGAACTTAGCTCCCCAACTAGGGATTGAACCCGTGCCGCCTGCAGTGGAAGCGTGGAGTCCTAATCACCGGACCACCAGGTAAGTCCCCATCCTTCCCTTCTAAGTTGCTCAGCTGGCCAGTCTCTCACACTGATCCTGCCCAGGACTTTCTCTCTCACTCCCCACTCCCCCTCTCTTGCTCTCAATCCCTCAGGCTGGTCCCAGCCATCTGTCACTCATACAGCTCCTCCTTCCCTGTCATTCATTCTAGTCCGGCCCTCCACTCCCAGTAGCACACCTGGGGACCAGGGCCTCCCTGCCTCTGTCCCTCCTCACCTCATACACATGGTGGACAGCAGGGCCCACGTCCCCCTCCTCCTGCGGCTGGTCTCGGGGATGCCAGTCGGTCACAGGGAATAGCACTGCCTCGGGCTTGGAGACACTAAAGAGGAGGGTGGTTTAGAGGACAGTGGAAGGTACCCCATCCCATATGCATCCTTTCCTAGAAGTCCATCTTGCCTCCCAGAGAGCCCCATTTTGCCCGGAGAACTGACCCGTTAAGGGAGACCTGGGCCTGAGCTTCCACAGAGAGCTGGAAGGAAACCACTTCGCTTTGAGAGTTGTTGAGATTCTTGCTGTGGGATGGAGGAGAGACTCAGGTGGTGCTGGAGCCCAGCCAGGAAGAATTTCACCTGCACCAGACTCCGCCCCTGCCCCACCCTCCTCGGCCCCGCCCCCAACTCAGCCTCAGCCTGGCCCCACCCACTCCCTACCTGAGGATCTGGAAGTCAAACTGGATGGTTTTCTTCATGTCCCTGAGGTGCGGGACTGTGAACCGAAGGCCACCCCAGAGCTGGAGGACAGGGAGGGAGGACAAGGGGGCTGTTAGACTGGGCGTCTGCCAAATCCCAATTGCAGCCCTCCTTCCCTATCCCACAGCTCTGCTCAGGGTGAGCCGGTCACTTTCCCTTGGGTCCTCTCTCCTGTCCCAGACTTACACTGGCTCCCGCCTTCATGGGGTTGCCCAGGTCACACACCAGCAGGCGGCTCTGGTTCACAGCAAAGTAGTCACAGCTCAGGCTGGAGAAGTTCTGGAGGTGGGGTGGGTGCAGGTAAGGCTCTGGTGTCCCTGTGGCAGGATCTCCCAAGCCCTGCCTAAGAGTCCCCTCTCACCCCTGGGTGTCTGACGAGTCCTGAGTACTCAGCCTCCGGAGGGGCCGTGACGCGAAGCTCTGCCTCGTAGGCGCCGCCCTCACCCACATTCTGGGCATGGAAAGTGAGGTTCAGAGAGTTCTTGTCGCCCAGGTACACGTGGTTCTGCTCTCTGGAGGGGACACACAGGGTCAGGGACACTGGGGAATTAATCCGCAAACCAAGACAATGGGCCATAACAATAATAGACACCGTTTACTGAGTTCCAACTCTATGGCAGGCACTAGGCTAGATGCTTTATGTAGATTATTTCATTTAATCCTTCCCCAAAGCCAGAGAAATAGATGCTCTTATTCTCACTATACAGATGAGGAAGTTGCATAATTTCCCAGGGTCACACAGCCAGCTAATACGTTCCTATTCTACTTTTTCACATGCCAGGTGCTTCCAAGCTCCATGTGTTCTGCTAGGAGACCTTGGCATCTGGAACCCCCCAGCTTGACGTCAGCCTTCACTTACCCAAACACTTCCAGCTGTAGGTCTGGCACACAGATATTGTCTTCTCCACAGTCCAGCAAGATCTGAGCCTGGGGAGCAGGGCAGCCTTGAGAGGGGGAGTTGCGACCCCCTCCTAAGCTGTCGGCTCCCCCCTCCAGGGCCCCACCCCTAGCGGCCCAGGCCCCTCTCCTCCCGGCCCGTCTCCCCACCCTGCCCTCACCTTGTCCTCTATGCGGCTCTTGCTCTGGTAGTGTAGGACTGGCCGAAGGCCGTGGCTGTCCACAGGGGCTTGGGGGTCCAGGGAGAAGTTGAGGGCGATGTGAATCGGGGAGAGTTTGTCTCGAAACTCTGACTCGTTCTGGGGCCGGGGGAGAGGGTTCACAGATTCAGGGGACACAGGGGACTTGGTCCTCATCCTCTCACATCTCCCTCTGTCCACTCAGGACCCTCCAGAATTCAGGTGTCCAAACTTGACCATGCTCATTGCTTCAGAGGCAGCCTGGTTCCCAGCTCCTCCAACAGAAGGGCCCCCTTCCCCAGCCTCCCAAAGTCCCAGGCCCTTCACTGGAATCTCCCTGTCTCTTTCCCTTCATGAGGGGCACCCAGTTCTACGTGGCCACTCTTCCCAGGCCAGTCCCGACCCTGCCCCCGGGCCCATACCCTGAGGTAGATCTTCATCTCTCTGCAATCCTCCCGAGCCCCGTTCTGGATGAGCAGGGTCTGGGTCAGGGTGGCCTGTCGGGAGGCCAGGAACAGTGCCCGCCGCGCTCCACCCTTCTGCTTCTGCCAGTCCAACTGGAGCTCCACCGTGAAGCCTGCAGCCGGGCACATATGTTAATGAGCATCTGCCCCTCCCTTCTAATCTATCCAGAGAGATAAGAGGTCCCCGAGTCCCCAGCCCCTCCATCTCCATCCCAGTGCCTGAAAGGTTCAGGCAGTCTCTCCCTCACCGATGGAGTCAGGAACGTGTTTTCCAGAAGCATTGAGGCAGAAGCTGAGATTGATGCTGGAGGAAGACCAAAGGGAAAGCTGGTGTATCCAACTGGAACAGGCATCCTATTCCCTACCTGCCTCCCAGACAGACCCAGACTGGGACAGTCCCATTTGTCCACTTTCAAAGACCTGGTCTCCCTCCCCACTTCCAGGCACAGATGAAACACCCCCAGACTCCATCCCCGCAGTCTCCTGGGCACCCCACTCACCAAGACGCAGGGTTCCCCCCCAAGCTGCAGCTATGCTCCTCTGGGTTGAACATGGCGGGAAAGATGGTGAGGGAGGCACTGGCAGACACGATGGGGCGACCCCTGCCAAGAGTGGGTGTGGGGTCAAAGAACTAAGACTGCTCAGGAACCTGGGCACAGGAAGCTGACGCCCAAGCCCCAGGATCCCAGTCTGTGCACTTCCCCAAACTCGGCCCTGTTGAGAAATCCCCCAGTTCCCACGTCTCCCAGGCTGCCCCCTGCCCAAGTTCATACCTGTACACCACAGCCTTGTCTACACCAAAGGACCCCACAATCAGATCTGCAAGAAGTCAAGAAACTACCCCTTACAGCAAGCCCCAAATCAGAATCCTTCCCAACCCCTTCCAGTTGCATTGTTCAAGGAGGCCGAAGTGAGGGGACACCGCCATCTGGTGGCATCATCCTAGAACTGCACCCAAGAGCTTAGGAAAGTGCATTAGAGGGGCTAGGGTTCTGAGACCAGGGAATTCTAAGGTGAAAGGGGCCGCTGGCACAACTCACCAGGGTATCCGTTGCCATCCAGGTCTCGGCCTCCTCGAAGGGCAGAGCCAAAGAAGTCCGGCGTGTGGCCAGCTGCCCACAGGGGCAGCAGGACCTGGGAAGGCTTAGAGGCCAGGCCCCCTGGGCCCCCAGGGAATACAAACACCACTCCCTGCTGGTTCTCCCCACCAAAGGCAGCCCCAACGGCTACATCTGCAAGACATACAACACACAGCAGTCAGCAGGCCAGGAATCCAGGAGTTCAAATCTCTACCATCGGACCCCAGGACCCGGGATCCTATTTTCCCCATCTGTCATTCCCAGTATTCTAACCTCTTCAAGCCCCAAGACCCAGACATTGGGATTAAAATCCACACACCTCCTGGAGGAGTCACTGGGGGTCTTGGGTATCTTATCTGACAGCCATCTCTCCCCAAATCCCTTCTGACTCAGGCCCCCACTCCTCCTCAGCAACTTGAGCCCACGGTGCTTACCATTGTAGCCATCCTGGTCCAGGTCCCCCAGGGGGGTCAGGGAACTGCCGAATCGACCAAACTCATCATGGCCAGTGAGGGTAAGGGTGGGCACAGGCTCCATGCCGGCCGGCCGCTGCAGGTAGACGTAGACCCTGCCCACCTCCTGCGGCCGCCCGTCGGCTGTCCGCTCCATGAGCAGGGGCGCCCCTACCAGCAAGTCGTCCAGCCTGAGGGTACGGGAAACGCAGTTATCCTGAGGCCCTGCCTTGCCATGTCCCCTCCTCAATCCCAGAGCCAGGAAATCCCAGGCCTCTTGGATCCGGGCTCCTTCCCACCCAAGTGAGAGACCTGAGGTCTTCTGGTCTTTGGTTCTCAGCTCTCTCTTTGCCCCTGAGCCTAGAGAATGCAGGCAGGAGGAGGAGAATGCAGAGAAAAACTCTCCTTGCGTTTTTCTGTCCCGTCCCTACTCCTCGTCCTGTGCTGTGCCCCTTTCCCACTACTCACCTGTCCCCATTGATGTCTGTGGCAGCCACTGCATAGCCAAAGTAGGAGGCCATCTGGGAGGGACAGAAGGGCAGCAGTGGGTCAGAACTAGGGGGTCAATCAACAAGGGCTATGAGGGGAAATCAGGGACTCCAGGGAGCCTGAGAAGCTGGGCTGAGCTTATGGGCTCAGGGCAGGGGCTTGGTTGGCAAAGGGCCAAGCTGGGTTGTGTGTGTGTGTGTGTGGTGGGGGGAGAAGGTGTCCTCACCTGTTCCCCTGAGAAGTTGTAGAGGGACCGGATGTCTGAGCCATTAAGGATGGTGACCTGGGGACGAGGAGATATACCCATTGGTCCCAGACTCCCAGACCATCCCATGGGTACAGGATACCCAGGGGCAGGCATTCCTTGAAGACATAGATCACTTGTCTCCTAGTTCCCTCCTTTGCTTTGCCTCACATTCCCATCTCTATATTGGGTAGCTCCATCCCAGGGAGACTTCATTATTTTCCTCCATGTCACTTATCAACTACTACTGACAGATTTCGTACTTATCTCTCTGTTGTGCCTGTCTACCTACTAGAGTGTCAGATAAGTGAGGGCAGGAGCCTTGTTTTGTTTTTTGCTTTCTCCTCAGAGCCTAAAGTAGTGCTTGGTGAGCAGCTGACACTCAATAATTATTAGCTGAAGGACATCCACCAGCCCTCCCAAGTCACAAACACTCATGGCTCCCCCGACGTGCCCCCCTTAGTGATGGGCCCTTCCGGTCCCCTGAGGCTCTCGACTCCCTCTTCTCTTCCCCAGTCTTGCAGCTGTTCCTCTGGTGTGAGCCCTCCCCCAGGACTGCTGGAGAGCCCCCTGGCCTCCCCCTGCCTCGGGCTCTCCCTTCCCCTCAGCACCCTTCCTCCATGGCAGCGGGACCGATCGCCCTAGAGCCGGTCTAGGAGGGATACGGCTGGCTTGGAAATCCGTGGTGGTTCCCTGAAGCCACGGCCCAGTCTCAGCCTCTTGGCTGGTCCTCTGACGCCCTGGAGAATCTGGCCCCAACCTATCTGTTTCTGCCCAACCTCTCTTTAGTCTCCTCATGCCCAATCAGCCCATGCTGAACTGGCTTGCATTTTTTTCCTTTCCTTCCCTGCCTCTTCTCACGCTCCCGCCCAGATGCTCTCTTTCCTCATCTCCACTGGTCTTTCATAGGACATTTTCTGTCCATCCCTGCCCTAGAAAAGAGGTTATTCTTCCCTCTAAACTGCTATATCATCTTGACCACTTTTCTGAAATTTATCCTAGTGCAGAAAGAATGCTGACTTTGGAATAAGACAGGTCTGGTTTTAAATCTCTATCCAGCCACTTACTAACTGGGTGATCTTAAACAACTTACTTGGTCTCTTTGAGCCTCAGCTTTCTCATGTGTAAAATGTGAATGGTAATATCTCCCCTGATAAGCTTGTTGCGAAGAATAGAACTCATGAGTGGACAGTGCCCGACGCACTGAGGGGTTCGTGAATAGGAGCTGCACCTTCGATTACAATCACTTGTGTGTCTTATCTTACATACTTGATTAGAAGCGCCTTACAAGATGGGGTATGATGTCTTATTCATCTTCTTATCTCTTACCTTGCCCTCATAAATGTTGGTAATTGAATGGACTCCTATAGCGTTCTTATCTATATCCTTTTTAAAGCACTCGCCATGGTCTAATAATAACAGCTACAGTTGTACACTGCCGCACAGTTCGCTAAGTACTTTCACGTGCATTATCTCGCTTCATCCTTACAAGAGCCTTGTGAGGTCAGAACTATTATTATACCATTATAAAGAGAAGAATGAGGCTCAGAGAGGTTAAGCAGACTCAAGGTTTTTATGGAATGAAGTGGGGTAGGAATAAATCACAGATTGATTCATCCAGAGTGAGTACCAGAACTCAAACACTGGTCTGACCCAAGAGCCCGTGTTCTGATACACTTTTTTCACCCCCCCAAACTGCCATGCATGGTTCTCTGTGATTAGCCAGGGGACGGGAGAGCAGAGGAGGGAGGGAGAGTCAGGCTGGGCCTTACGTAACCATAGGTGAGGTTCCCTTTGGGCACGCCAGCAATGAAGTCTGTAGAGGGAAGAGAAAGTTGTAGGCTAAGGGCAGGGAAAGGGGAGTCAGACAAAAATGGTAAGTATCTCAGTCCCTGTGGCTCTGGGTCCTGGGTCTCCATCTGCCCCCTCCCTTGGCCCCAGCCTGGGGACACACTCACCTTCTGTGTCATCACCACTGAATTCACCTACAGCCACAGAGTATCCTAGGAGACAGGGTGGGCGGATATTAGGATTCCTGCTTTGGGGACCCCTCTGTCCTGGCCCATCCTC